TAAGGGTATATGCAGAATTTGGGAGCTTCTGGTCGTGCGACCACTTATCTCACCACGTGTTAGAAACTTCGAGGAGAGATAAGTAGGAGCGGAGCTGGTCATACATTTAAAAGCAAATACGGCGTCACTGAGATGTAGCTGAGATTTAATAGGTAGCCAGTGCAGTTCTCTCAGAAGCGGAGTCACGTGGTCAAATTTTCTGAGACCACAGATAATCCGGGCTGCAAAATTCTGGACCGCTTGTAGCTTGAGAAGGTTAGTGTCCGCTGGAGGAACAATAAAATAACTTACTAAACACTAAAGTGTTAATTATTATCAATAAGGTCGATCTGTCAAACATTACTCTGCTGGCAGAGGCGTTTATTTGTTAACTTCCCCTACGGTCTTCGCAAAAGTAAAGTCCTCTGCGCTCGGCCTGTTAAATCTTCTTCGAGCATGCGCCTGGGAATTATCCAAGTTTGTGGATAACCTGATTTGCGAAACCGGTCAGAACTTGTTTTAAACACGTTTTTATGTGCACTCATCCTATTTAGCTGTATAGCAAGACCAACAATCACGGTTTTGGCGTCCTTCAATGTTCTTCGGGAAAGTATTGTCAGTGTTTCGAAGAGTTTTTTACTTTCAAGCTACGATTTAACCTCAGAGCAATTTATAGCCGTCGAAAGTTTCATATCTGGTCGAGATACATTCGTTTCTTTACCTACTGGCCGCGGTAAATCGTTGATTTATCAGCTACTTGTTCCTTTGGTGAACTACCTTCGCACTGAACATGGCTGTTGAAAGTTGGCCGAGTACTGCCGGGAACTAATTTGTTTCTAAGCAACAGGCCGCGCATGCTTGAAGAAGATTTAAAAGGCCGAGCGCAGAGGACTTTATTTTTACGTGGACTGTAGGGGAAGTTAACAAATAAACGCCTCTGCCAGCGGGGTAGTTAAACACGTCCTTAACACGATTAATTTGAGCTAAACTCGAGAAGCAGAAGGAAACTGTTTTAACAATATGCTCGTGAAAAGTAAGGCTGGAGTCAAAAGTCACGCCTAGGTCTTTAACGACGTGCACCGGTATTAGTTCCTTTCCTAAGAGGGAGAGACGAATAACCCGGATATTACTTAAATTTTGTCGACTTCCATAAATAATAAGCTTAGTTTTATCAGGATTCAAGAGAAGACGATTTGCCAAGCACCAGTTTCGAATCTGTAGAAGATCAGCGTTAAGATCGGCAACAGCCTTAGCCCAGTCTTGGACTGGGAAAGAAATGTAAAGTTTTGTGTCATCGACGTAACTTTCAGTAAGACAGGACCGGGGGGCGAGGGGCAAATCATTTACATAGATATTAAACAAAATAGGTCCGAGGACGCTTCCTTGTGGCACGCCTAATACAATGGGTAGAGGATCAGACAATGCAGAATTTATGCGCACTACTTGTCGTCTGTCAGAGAGATAGCTGGTGAACCAAGCAACACTGGATGGCGAGATTCCAATATCCAGCAGTTTGTTGAGTAAGATTCCATGATTTATCGTGTCGAAAGCCTTGCTCATATCAAGTAAGACAACAGCGGTAATTTTCTTCTCCTCAATCGCACTTAAGATAGCATCAGTTGTTCGTATTAAGGTTTCCGTAGAGTGCAGTTTCTTATTACAACTTCGCCGAGTTACTCGGGCTTTCCGGAGGAAACGCCCGAGCTATAAATTCAGCTTTTTTTCTTTTTCTTTTTTTTGCGTTCGTTCACAAAACGCAGTTCCACTACGGCGCATGCGTGAAGTGTATGCGCATGCGTAGAATGAACTATAGAGCGCATGGAAAAGCAATGGCTGCCTTCGTGGACTGATGTACGCGAAAGAGATTCGATGGCTATTACGTTCAGTATACATAGAAAGTCACACATCGTTATCAGTAGACCCACGCTAAAAATTGTGGAGCGTTTTGGGAACGGGTCGGTCCGAGAACTTTACGAGAGATCAATTTACGAGTGAACCTTCTATCGAAAAATATCAAGCGAAACCTGCTATATCAAACGAGCTATCTCTTATTATTAAAAACTGGATCATTGGATAATGCAATTCAAGACTTTTTATTGGCTTAGCCATTATGGTATATGAGCCAATATACCATAATCTACAAATATGATAAGCGCACGCGTCAGCTTAAAATTGAAAGGGAGCTAAAAAAAGAATAAAATTTAATAACTTAATTTAACGTTTTTAATAAAACAGTTATTCCACTCGCGTTTGTTGGATATGAGATGATTATATATTTGTAGATTATATACCATAATCTACAAATATGGTAAGCGTACGCGTCAGCTTAAAAATCAAAAGGGAGCTAAAAGATCCAGTTTCTTCTTACAAAATAATAATTTCTTGAGGGCGCTTTTAATAAAACAATTATTCCACNGAGAGAAGAGAACAATGCCCAGTACAAATTCGCGATTACTGGAATTTTAGAGAAGAGATTTCGCTACACAATGGAATTCTGTTTAAGAGTCAGAGAGTGATAGTTCCTAAAGCTATGAGACCGGAGATGCTTTCAAGAATACACTCAAGTCATCAAGGAATTGCAGCATGCCTGAGGAAGGCTAAAGACATCGTGTTCTGGCCTGGCATGAATTCAGAAATCAAAGCCGTCGTTGAGAGATGCCCAGTTTGCGCCGATTTTCAAGCAAAAAATGTTAAGCAGCCAATGCAATCTCATAAAATTCCTGACAGGCCATGGAGCAAAGTTGGTACAGATCTGTTTTCATTAAGCGGAAAGAATTACGTCACAATCGTTGATTACTTCTCAGATTTTGTTGAAGTTGACGAACTTGAGGACACGACCTCACAGGCAGTCATACAAGTCCTTAAACAGCAATTCAGTAGACATGGAATCCCGGACACTGTTGTTTCAGACAACGGATCACAGTTTAGCAGTCACGAATTTCACGAGTTCTCACTCAGCTGGGAATTTAACCATGTAACGTCATCACCACATTATGCAAAGGCTAACGGGAAAGCGGAATCCTCAGTCAAGGCGGTCAAACAGCTATTCAAGAAAGCTGGACGTGATGGAAAAGACCCTTGGTTAGCTTTATTAGACTACAGGAACACCCCCACAGAAGGTCTAGGCAACAGCCCTGCTCAAAGGCTTATGTCTAGAAGGACACGAACTCGGTTACCTACAGCAGCAAGTCTTCTTCGTCCTGAAGTAATTCCAGACTCTACAGAGCAGTTAGAGTGGAAAAGGCGAAAAGCTAAGCTTTACCATGACCGTAGCGCAAAACAGTTGCCAGAATTGGAGATTGGACAAGAAGTCCGAATCGCACCTTTACAGAAGAATCAAACATGGAAGCAAGCTACATGCGTAGAGAAACTCTCGGATAGGTCTTACTTGGTCAAATCAGGCGATCAGACCCTCAGAAGAAATAGGCAGTTCCTGAGACCTGCAGAAGTACCTACAGCTCAAGAAAAGCAACACAACAAGGATGGTACAACAGAACCTAGTGGCAATCACAAGGAAGTACCAACAGCACTGACAAGGTTTGCAACACCTTTGAGTCCTAAGCCGGTGAACTCAACACCCCCGAGTCCTGCAGAACAATTATCCAGCACCAGCAGTACATTACCAGCCTCACAGAAGACAAGAACTCGGAGCATTCGTTTGCCGTCCAGATTTAAAGACTTTGATATGAAACATTAGTAGAGGCATAATGATTCAAAGACTCAAAGACTTAAACGCGCATTTCAGTATAATACAACAAGTTCCGTTCAGGGCCTAAGTTCCGTTTAGTTTAGGGTTTTGTTTTGAGTTACAAAAAGTCAGTCTGATTTTCTTTGTTTATTAGCTAAGTCTGTTACAGTTGTTTTTTTTGTTCCTTTCAAAGAAAGGGAGATGTTACGTATATGGCTTGATTGACCATATTTAGATAGCAATGTACTCTTACATGAAGTAGAGATCAGCAATAAAAGTGTGTCTTAGATAAATGGAAAAGCTTGGAGAGGTTCCTTGTCGAAACAAGGAACTTCTATATGGTAATATATTATTTTGATTGTTGTTTAGTACCATAACAACATTCATTACACTCCAGCAGACATAAATAAACATAAGTGGACTTATTCGTGACCGGCAATGATGAAATTGCGTGACGATAGTAATGATGGCAATATGGCAGTCCCCTAAAGATAACTCCAGATGTGCGATATTGAAAGCCCGAGTTCACGCAGATATGCGTCTAGTTTGATTAAGCGCAGCCCTTTCGCATACTTTCGAAAGAATGGGCAGAAGAGAGATAGGCCTATTATTGTTAAGTTCTTCGTGATTACCTTCTTTCGGAATAGGCGACACGACAGCTAATTTCCAAGATCATCCGAGGATATTTTCCACACGCACCGGAAGATGTAGTTGTGTGTGGTTCGAACTAAAGGTAAACGATTAAAAAAGAAAAAGGAAAGGCTTATGTAAGCTAATGCTACAAGATGTAAATCAAGGATACCGATACGAAACACAGATCTCATTAATGAAACAAAACGATTACAGCTCAAGATATGTGATCAGACTCACTTTTATCTGGCTCCTGCAGGTGGCAGTTGATAGGAGCTAGGATAGCCTTAAGAAACTAATGATAGCGAGAGTAAAAAAAAAGGCGGATCGCGCAACTCACAGATAAAACGTGATAGTGGCTGATTAAAACGTGATAGTGGCTGATTAAAACGTGATAGTGGCTGATTTAATCGTTTAATCGATTTCAAAGGTTATGTAACGAAATTTGATTCCTAGCAATCACGGCGTGAATAATAACTGCTTACACGTAACAAAACTGTTAATGAGTGATAGCTAAACAAACAGAAATAGAACGCTTTGCGAAAGTAACACCAAGGACTATTCAAAAGCCCTATCTGATTCACCGTTTTTTCTTGGAATTAATAATAATACTAATTTTATTAATTTCTATTGCGCAATTATCAATATAAATTTTCAATTGCGCATTACAATACGATCTTAATACAAATATATAAAAATGCAAATGTAAATGTAAATTTAAATATATAAATACAAGTAGAAAATATAAGATATATATATATAAGCATAACATCTAACACTCTAAAAAGGCTAGTCTAAAAAGATATTAACTGCCGTCTTGAATTTATTAATTGGATTTAGGTCCCTGATATTACTAGGAAGCTCGTTCCATAATTTAGGGGCGGCCACAAGACTTCAATGCAGGATAGTTTAAAGTGCTACTGAAACGTAATTTTCATATCCGAGATATTTGCAACATAATAGAGTTTGAACGTTATTTGCAAACGCTGTGTACTTTTTTTGGGCCAACGCAAAGCGGAAAGTACATTTTTAACTATTCGAAGTTGACCGGCTGAGATCAAAATTGGCGGCCATCTTGGCGCGGCCCAAACAGCCCTGTGACGTCACTGGTTGTGTACTTCTGTGAAAGAAAGGTAAAAGCATAGAGTGTGGCTTGCATGTTGAGAGGCCGAAAAAGAGGATTTCGAGTAAAATGCCATCCTCGTCTTATTCATTGGCGGCCACATCGGCATCTTGGCTATCTGCAAGAGGTTCGCCTGGATAGGGAGCAAAATTCCCGACTGATATCGAGAACGAATCTCTACCAGTCTATTTA